GCTCATCACGGACCTCTACACGGGATCCCCGCTTTTCTACTCCCTCGGGAGGCAGAACGGGAGGAGCAAATCCACGGAGTGCCTCTTTGATGGTGACGGTGTCCTGGCGCACGAACTCCGGGAGAAGTCGACCATCATCGGAGACTTCTACGGCAATTCTAGATTTAAAGCTTTCGTGACTGCTAGGATCCATACTCTTTGGTTCTATTGGGTAAAGTCACTGCACTGGTTAGGCACTGCCTCAACAATACCTACTTTACTTGGAATGGCTCCTTCTACAAACAAAAATGAGGGTACCCCCATGGGATCCCCCTTATCACCAGTGATAGCCAATATTTTCATGGAGAAATTTGAATCAGACGACATCCAGACTTCCACCCTCAGACCTTCCCTGTGGAAGAGATATGTGGATGACACTTTCGTCATTTAGCCACATGGCCTCCCAGCTCTGAACCTTTTCCTACACCACATCAATTCCAGACATCCCGCCATCAAATTCACCATGGAAGTGGAGAAAGATGGCAAGCTACCATTCTTAGATGTTCTGTTTGAGAGGAGACCTGATGGCTCATTGGGGCATTCTGTCTACAGGAAACCCACCCACACGGATTCCTACTTGAAACCTGATTCCCACCACCCAGCCCAAAATAATTCTCTCATCAAAACTTTATACCATAGGGCTCATTGCATTTCGGACCAACACCACCTGACCAGTGAATTGAAACATGTACACCTGGCCCTCAAAAGGAATGGTCACTCTGACCGTACCATCCGCCAAACTGTCTCTCCCTCCATACAGAAACAACCACTTGATACTCCGGTCAAAACCATCACACTTCCATATATAGCAGGCGTTACTAAAAAAGATTTCCAAAATTCTAAACAAACACAAGATCCAGGTCCGGTTCAATACAGTACACAAAATCCGTGATCTGATCCCATCCGTGAAGGATGTCATTCCTGATTTACAGTACCCCGGGGTTTACAAATTGAGTTGTACCTGCGGTGATTGCTACATCGGTGAGACAAAGCGACATGTCTCTGACCGAATTCGCGAGCACAAATCTGATTTGAAACACGGCAAAACGAATTCTTCTGCCGTGGCTGATCACTGTTACAACGCTCTGGGGGATCACGATATAATTTTCTCCGATACCAAGGTTCTTTGCAACCCCACGGGCTTTTATCAGAGATTTGTTCATGAAACAATTCAGATCTACAAACACAGACACAATTTCAACCGAGAGGATGGTTTCAAATTAAGCAACCATTGGAAAGATGTTCTAAATCGAACTAAACATTAAACTAATTTAAATGGTACAGTATATTTTTCAAGTAGTGGTACCCCAAACTTTTGCAGCTCTTATAAATTCCCCCTTTTCACACCATCAATAAGTAAACTCCCCCTCCCCCCTTCCCCCCTCCCGCGCCAAACAGCAAGTCTACCGGCACGTACACCACCTCTTTCCTAAAATCCGCCAATCAAATGCTAATTTTTATGCTAATTTCTTTGTCAGAACACCTTGTTTGCTCGCACACAGGTCCGATGTCTGAGCGTGGTTGTGTTTCGCTAAATTCTCCTGTTTGATGAGTACTAGGTGCCTCCGTGAATGTATATGCTCTAACTTTAACATAGCTATTTCTGTGACCAGTTACAAGCTAATCACTCAGCTATTTCAATGCTAAATTCGATGCTAATTCCTTTGTCAAGGGGTACCTCTGCGGATGTGTATACTTTAACTTAGCTATTTCAATGAGCCATTTCAATGCTAAATTATATGCTAATTCCTTTGTCAAGGCGCTTGGTCTTTTCTTCTCACACAGCTTAAAGGTCGTGATCTAAGCGTGGCTTCTTCCACTCCAGCGCTGTCCTCCAGACAGTCTCGTCCCTTCACCTGATGAAGGCCGCTTGTGTTGTGGCCGAAACGTCGTGAATTTTTGTTGTTTTATTTTCACCTACGTGACTTTACCCAATAGAACCAAAGAGTATACTTCTACGGCAGCCTGTTCTCCCCTGAAGAGACATCGGGAGTGGCCCAGGCGGAGGCATGGAGCGGTCTACCCACCCTGGGGGAAAACGGGGAAAGAGCTACTGGAGCAAAAGCTCACCAGGAATGACCTTGACGCAGCTGTAAGAGGACTGGCCCCAAATAAATCCCCAGGGTTGGACGGCCATCCCTACGGGGAGGACTACAGAGAGGTGCTGGAGGAAGCCTCTGTGACCGGGGTGATGCCTCAGTCTTGGAGGAGGGCGGTGCTCACTCTGCTTCCCAAGAACGGAGACCTGAGGAACCTAAAACACTGGCGTCCGGTGTCCCTCCTGAACACCGACTACAAAATATTGACGAAGGCTCTCTCCCTGCGACTGAAAGGGGTGATTGCACAAGTCGTAAACAGGGTCCAGTCCTACACCATCCCCCGGATGAACCATCCACGACGGAATCTTCCTGGTCAGGGACCTCATCGCGGTGTCCCAGAGGTTGGGCATCCCAATCGCGTTTCTGGCCCTTGACCAGGAAAAGGCTTTTGACAGAGTGGACCACAAATATCTGCTGGGAACCCTCAAGAGCTTTGGTTTTGGGGATGCCTTTGTCCGAACGATCCGCCTACTCTACACCAAGGCGGAGTGCGTGATCAAGTTCAACGGCGCCCTCACTGCCCCCGGTCAAATTTGACCGAGGAGTGAGACAGGGATGCCCATTGTCGGGCCAACTTCATGCCCTGGCTGTAGAGTCTTTCCTGAGTTTCACAAGGCGGAGACTCAGCGGCCTGGTGCTCAGGGAACCAAGCGTCAAGTTGGTCCTGACGGCATACGCCGACGACGTCTTCCTCCTCATCCTGCACTCCCTGGCTGATGTCGCCCTACTGCACGAGTGCCGGGAGGTATTTTCGAAGGCCTCCTCATCTAAAATGAACTGGCAAAAGTGCAGCGGGCTGCTGGTTGGAGCGTGGGACATGACCGAGTGTCCCGAGAAGGCAAAAGCCATCAATTGGAGCACAACATCGCTGCTGCACCACCTGGGGGTGTTCCTGGGACCAGAGGAGGAACCACCGCAGAGGAACTGGGTCGAGCTGGAGGAGAAGGTGAAGGAGCGGCTGGGCACCTGGAGTCACCTGTGCAAGTTCCTCACCTTCAGGACAAAGACGTTGGCGGTGAACCAGCTGGTGACGTCCATGAGCCTCGTCAACGCGCTTCAGAAGCCGACTTCTTCTAGTCGGGTGGAGGACACCGGAGTCACGGCTGTGGTCCTGGCCCTGCCACTGGACGAGGGTGGTCACAGGCCGGTGAGCGTGCGGAGTCAGCTGGCCACCTTCCGACTTCAGGCCGCGCAAAAGTTCCTGCACGCCGCCCCTGCACCGGCCTGGAGCGTCACGGCCTCCTTCCTCCTGAAACAGCTGGGGGGTCTGCAGTGCTCCAAACAACTATTCTACATGGACCTGCAAGGCCTCCCACTGGGACAGCTGCCACCTTTCTACAGGAGGGTCCTGCAGACATGGAGCTCCCTCGCCGTCAGGAGGCTGAACCAGCCACGATTGGCCAAGGATCTGGTCTTCGAACCGATCCTCAGGAACCCGCAGACAAAGCTGCCATCCACCACCATCACCCCCGGCATGGAGAGGCGCCTCGCCAACGCGCGGCTCACCAGGATGGGAGATCTGGTGGAGCCTGAAACACGGAGGCCGGTGGCTCGGACCAGCAGACATGGCCGCAAAGACAGGGGGGCTCCAGTCGCTCCGGGTGGCTGCCCGGATCCTGGCCGAAGCCAAGGGGGCCTTCTCAGCGGCAGCGGGGAGAACGCCCCCCATCGGCGTTGGGGATGCGGATCACAACCTGTGCCGGCTGGAAGACCTGCCGGAGGTGGCCTTCGCCAACATAAAGAGGAAGGTGGTCTACTCCTACATGGTCCAGTTTCACCAACAGGACACCCTGAGGAGCCACAGGACCATGCCTGGAGAAAAGCCCTAGCCCTGCATCTCTCCGGAGAGGCCTTGCTGGAGGCAACTCTACTCCAGCCCGACGTACAACCGCATCGGCGACCTCAGCTGGAGCATCGCCCACGGCACCGTCACCACCGACGTCTCCCTGGCGCGCTTCACCGACGCGTCCCTGGAGTGCCGATTGTGTGGTAAAGTGGAGACGGTGGCGCACCAATACGTGGAGTGCAAGAGCCTGGGACTCGCTGTTCAAGGTCCTGAGAAACATCCTCCTAAGGTTCAGCCTCCACTTCTCCCCAAGGTCCTCATCTTTGGACACCCGAAGGCCGGCGGATCCCAACATCTTCAGGGGCTGGTCAACGTGCTCTTCGGCTACGCCAAGCTCGCCGTATACAGGGCGAGGAAGGTGGCCCTGGAGGGGAAACGTCCGGCCAGCAGCCTGGGCATCTTCCGTGCTCTGGTCGGAGCCAGGGTGTGGGCTGGAGTTACGGCCACACGCGGCTGACCCACGCCGTGCCGGCCTTCAAGGAGCAGTGGGCGCTGGAGGAGGGCCGCGTGCTCGGTGGCAGATGACGGTAGAGAGCTCTGTGCGTGCAGATTGTGAGCTACCCGTCGGAGGCCGTAGGACTGCGGGAAGGGCTGCGTGCAGATGCAGCACTTGTCGTAGTTATAAAAACATATGTAAATAGAAAACAGGGGGAACATCGAGTAGGGAGAGAGGGGGTAGAGAGAGGGGGTAGAGAGAGAGAGGGAAGGGGTAAGAAGGAGGAGAGCAGAGCATAAAGCAAAGCATTGAAACAAAACTAAAACCGAAATGATGAACGAAGCAAAGTGCCGACTACACCCAGCATCGTCTTGTTGCCTCTGATGGTAAAAAAGAAAAGAGAGAGAGAGAGAAGGGGAGAGGCAGGGGAGGGGAGGGGGGAGAGGAGGGAGGAGGGAGAGGCAAGTGAGGGGAGGAGGGAGAGGCAAGTGAGGGGGTGGAGAAGGGGAGAGGCAAGTGAGAGAGGGGAGAGAGAAGAGAGGGGCAAGTGAGGAGGGGAGAGGCAAGTGAGGAGGGGAGGGGAGGGGGTGGAGGTCGCGAGAGAGACACGGAGCGCGAGGAGGGAGCAGGAGGCGACGCGGAGCTTGCGAGTCGCCGTTCTGTGAGTTTACTCCTTCACTGCCGTGTGTGGTGTATAGTGTAGTGTGGTGTGTGGTGTGGTGGGTAGTGTGTGTAGTGTGGTGTGTAGTGTGGTGTGTTGTGTGTAGTGTGTAGTGTGGTGTGTAGTGTAGTGTGTAGTGTAGTGTGTAATGTAGTGTGGTGTGTAGTGTGTAGTGTGTGTAGTGTGGTGAGTGTAGTGTGTGTAGTGTGGTGAGTGTAGTGTGTGTAGTGTAGTGTGTGTAGTGTGTAGTGTGGTGTGTGTAGTGTGTAGTGTATAGTGTGGTGTGTAGTGTGGTGTGTAGTGTGTGTAGTGTGGTGTATAGTGTGGTGTGTAGTGTAGTGTGTGTAGTGTAGTGTGTGTAGTGTAGTGTGTGTAGTGTGTGTAGTGTAGTGTATAGTGTAGTGTGTATTGTAGTGTGGTGTATAGTGTGTAGTGTAGTGTGGTGTATAGTGTAGTGTATAGTGTGGTGTGGTGTGTAGTGTGGTGTGTAGTGTGTAGTGTAGTGTGGTGTGTAGTGTGTAGTGTGGTGTGTAGTGTGGTGTGTAGTGTGGTGTATAGTGTAGTGTGGTGTGTAGTGTGTGTAGTGTAGTGTGTAGTGTGTGTAGTGTGGTGTGTAGTGTCTAGTGTAATGTGTGTAGTGTGTGTAGTGTGTGTGTAGTGTATGTGTAGTGTGTAGTGTAGTGTGTGTAGTGTAGTGTGTAGTGTAGTGTGTAGTGTAGTGTGTGTAGTGTAGTGTGTCTAGTGTAGTGTGTGTAGTGTACGTGTAGTGTGTGTAGTGTGTGTAGTGGTGTACGTGTGTGTGTAGTGTAGTGTGTAGTGTACGTGTAGTGTACGTGTGTGTGTAGTGTGTGTAGTGTAGTGTGTGTAGTGTAGTGTGTAGTGTAGTGTGTGTAGTGTAGTGCGTAGTGTACGTGTGTACGTGTAGTGTGTGTGTGTACGTGTGTAGTGTAGTGTGTGTAGTGTAGTTAGTAGTGCAGTGGGGTGTATAGTGTGTTTAGTGTCGTGTGTGGTGTGTGTAGTGTCGTGTGTAGTGTGTGTAGTGTACGTGTAGTGTGTGTAGTGTGTAGTGTACGTGTAGTGTGTGTAGTGTAGTGTGTAGTGTACGTGTGTGTGTGTACGTGTAGTGTACGTGTAGTGTAGTGTGTAGTGTACGTGTAGTGTGTGTACGTGTAGTGTGTAGTGTAGTGTGGGGAGCGGTAGTGTAGCGGTCTACTGGGGGAGACAAAGGCGGCCGCGCGTGGTGCTGGCCACCCACACCCTCGTGTGCCGTGCCGGCCTTCACAGGTGCTGCTACTCGCTAACAGCACTTGCCCCAACAGTCTGTCACAGGCTACACGGAGGTCTTTGATGTGCGTGACAAAGATCCCCCGTGTAGCCTGTGACAGATTGTAGGGCAAGTGCTGCTAGCTAGTAGCGGCAGCGCCTATGAAGGCCAGCACGGCACACGAGGTGGTGGTTGGGTGAGTGACACGGGTTAGAGAAGAGGTGGAGCTGATGGGTGAGCTGAGTGCGTGAGTGGGTGGGTGGGTGAGTGAAGAGGTGAGCTGATGGGTGAATGGGTGGGTGAGCGGGTGGGTGGGTGAGCGGGTGGGTGGGTGGGTGAGCGGGTTGGTGGGTGAGTGGGTGGATGGGTGGATGAGTGAGTCGGTTAAGGTGAGCTGATGGGTGAGTGAGTGGCACGGGTTAGAAAAGAGGTGGGCTGATGGGTGAGTGAGTGGGTGAGTGAGTAGGTGGATGAGTGGGTGAGTGAGTGACACGGGCTAGAGAAGAGATGGAGTGATGTGGTACAGGAGGATGTGGAGCTGAGTGGACTTGCCGATGACTGGTACCAGCGGTACCAAGATCGGTCTCTGTGGAGGAGGAGGCTCGTGCAGGATGCTCCTTGGCAGTGCCAGGCTAGGTGCACCTTGAGGCTACTGGGGCCAGTGCCAGGCTAGGTGCACCTTGAGGCTACTGGGGCAGTGCCAGGCTAGGTGCACCTTGAGGCTACTGGACAGTTGGAGGCAGTCGCCCTCCAGAAACAGCGGAGGGCAGTGGAGCGACGCTCACAACAACAAGCGGAGCGCCGGGCGGCTAAAACGCAGCGAGTTGGCACAGCAGGGGGGTACAGCTGGTGGTGGTGGTGCATCTAGCGGTCATTTCAGTCAGACGACCCGTGGCACCTGCTGGGTCTGTCCCGTGACCTCCTGTCAACCAGAGAGCCTTCGACACTTCACGTGGCAGCCTCAAAGTGCACCTAGCCTGGCACCGGCGCCGTGGAGATGTTAACTACCTCGCCTGGTGTGCAGGAGGTCGTGGGTCCGATCCCGAGCCTGATGATGCCTGCTGCTGTAGATTTGGAGTCTGCGTCTCTCTCTCTCCCCGTGGTCGCGTGGATTTGTCTCCAGGACCCCTGGGTTTTCCCCTCCAACATTTAGAATCAAACGTCTCGCTTTCAGAGTCTTCGGCTGCTGTTGTAATGTCCACGTGATGATGACGATGAGTCCACGTGACGACGACGATGACGACGACGATGACGACGATGATGACGACGACGATGACGACGACGATGACGACGACGATGACGACGACGATGACGACGACGATGACGACGACGATGACGACGACGATGATGACGATGAGTCCACGTGGTTGAGCTGCCATCATTTGCGATGGCAAGTTTCGCCTCTGAACCAGAGCCACTCCTCCACAGCACCTCAGTGGTGAGGGCCTTACACCTGGTGACAAGAAACATCGTTTAGTTTTAGTATGGGTCTGTGTGGGACTCTGTGGGTCTCTGTGGGTCTCTATGGGTTTCTATGGGTCTCTGTGGGTCTCTGTGGGTCTCTATGGGTCTATGTGGGTCTCTATGGGTTTCTGTGGGACTCTGTGGGACTCTGTGGGTCTCTGTGGGTTTCTATGGGTCTCTGTGGGTCTCTGTGGGTCTCTGTGGGTTTCTATGGATCTCTATGGGTTTCTATGGATCTCTGTGGGTCTCTATGGGTTTCTGTGGGTCTCTGTGGATCTCTATGGGTTTCTATGGGTCTCTGTGGGTCTCTATGGGTTTCTATGGGTCTCTGTGGGTCTCTATGGGTTTCTATGGGTCTCTGTGGGTCTCTATGGGTCTCTGTGGGTCTCTGTGGGTCTCTGGGTCTCTATGGGTCTCTGTGGGTCTCTATGGGTTTCTATGGGTCTCTGTGGGTCTCTGTGGGTCTCTATGGGTCTCTGTGGGTCTCTATGGGTTTCTATGGGTCTCTGTGGGTCTCTGTGGGTCTCTTTGGGTTTCTATGGGTCTCTGTGGGTATTTGTGGGTCTCTATGGGTCTCTGTGGGTCTCTATGGGTCTCTGTGGGTCTCTATGGGTTTCTATGGGTCTCTGTGGGTCTCTGTGGGTCTCTATGGGTCTCTGTGGGTCTCTATGGGTTTCTATGGGTCTCTGTGGGTCTCTGTGGGTCTCTATGGGTTTCTATGGGTCTCTGTGGGTCTCTATAGCAATTTTTTTTGTATTTTAGTGGCCCGGTGGTGGCGCTGCTGCGTAAGCAGTGGCACACAAACACTGTCAACGATAGCAAATCAACACGGTCCGTGTCAATAACAATAATAACAGCGACAGCATCGTGTGCCTGTGCGTGTGTAGGTGTGTATGTGTGAGGGTGTGTGTGGGTGTGTGTGTGTGAGGGTGTGTGTGGGTTTGTGTGTCTGTGTGTCTGTGGGTGTGTGTCTGTGTGTGTGTGCGTGTCTGTGAGTGTGTTTCTGTGTGTGTGAGTGTGTGGGTGTGTGTGTGTGTGTGAGTGTGTGGGTGTGTGTGTGTGAGGGTGTGTGTGTGAGGGTGTGTATGGGTGTGTGTGTCTGTGTGTCTGTGGGTGTGTGTCTGTGTGTGTGTGAGTGTGTGGGTGTGTGTGTGTCTGTGTGTGTGGGTGTGTGTGGGTGTGTGTCTGTGTGTCTGTGGGTGTGTGTCTGTGTGTGTGTGAGTGTGTGGGTGTGTGTGTGTCTGTGTGTGTGGGTGTGTGTGTTTGTGTGGGTGTGTGTCTGTGTCTGTGTGGGTGTGAGTGTGTGGGTGTGTGTGTCTGTGTTGTGGGGAGCGATAGTGTAGCGGTTAGCGCGCTGCACTATGAACCTGGCGACCAGGGTTCGATTCCCGCTCACGGCCAACACCAGTGACGATTATCTGAACCGGGCCTCCCCTAGGTCGACTCAGCCTCTTAATGAGTACCTGGTGCGGTGTGTAAACATCGCCACTAGGGAGACAAAGGCGGTCGGGCGTGGTGCTGGCCACCCACCCCCTTGTGTACCGTTCCAGCCTTCATAGGTGCTCGCTAACAGCACTTGCCCCTACAGTCTGTTAAGGCTATATGGGGGATCTTTGTCTGTGAGGGTGTGTCTGTGTGTCTGTGTGTCTGTGTGTCTGTGTGTGGGGGTGTGAGTGTGTGGGGGTGTGTCTGTGTGTGTCTGTATGTGTCTGTGTGTGTCTGTGTGTGTGTGGGGGTGTGTGTGGGTGTGTGTGTGTGTCTGTGTGGGGGTGTAAGTGTGTGGGTGTGTGTCTGTGTGTGTGTGGGGGTGTAAGTGTGTGGGTGTGTCGTTAGGTGCTACGCTGCGCTATGAACCCAGTGACCCAAGATCGATTCCCGCTCACGGCCAACACCGCCAGTGACGATTATCTGTACCGGTCCTGCGCCTCCCCTAGGTCGACTCAGCCTCAAATGAGTATCTGGTGCGGTGTGTAGTAAACATCGCCACTGGGGAGACAAAGGCGGTCGGGCGTGGTGCTGGCCACCCATTCCGTTCCAGCCTTCATAGGTGCTCGCTGACAGCACTTGCCCTGACAGTGCAGTACACGTGTGGCCTTAACAGGGAATACATATAACGGGCGACGTATCAGCAAAGGGCCCCAAGGCTTCAAAGTTCAAAGAGAGAGAGAGACATGCAGTCGAGGGACAGAGTGGGTGGTGAGTTGGACACCCCACGCGACATTGAGTGTCTCATCACCATCAGCAGCAGCATCATCATCATCATCAGCAGCATCATCATCAGCATTATCAGCAGCAGCATCATCAGCATCATTATCAGCAGCAGCATCATCATCAGCATCATCATCAGCATCATCAGCATCAGCAGCATCATCGGCAGCAGCAGTCCCAGGATCTGCTTGAAACGAGGGCGGTTAAACCAGCAAACTCAGAGGAATGATTGTGCAGAATCAGTGGTGAGTGTCACGTGGTGAGTGTCACGTGGGTTGATGGATGGGGTGAGTGGTGTGTCACGTGGTGAGTGTCTGGTGAGTTGATGGATGTGGAGAGTGGTGAGTGTCACGTGATGAGTGTCACGTGAGTTGATAACAACTCTCTCTGAGTCGACCCTCATCGCATTAACGACTCCAACTTCTCTCGCTCAATGATTTTTTTCTTCCAATTTCCCTTCCAGACGCGGTCAAGCACAGCAGCGAGGGACGAGAGGGCCAGTCCAGTATAGTCCAGTCCAGACCAGTATAGTCCAGTATAGTCCAGTCCAGACCAGTATAGTCCAGTCCAGACCAGTATAGTCCAGTATAGTCCAGTCCAGACCAGTATAGTCCAGTCCAGACCAGTATAGTCCAGTCCAGACCAGTATAGTCCTTCCAGACCAGTCCAGTCTACTCCAATCCAGACCAGTCCAGTCTACTCCAGTCCAAAGCGGCCCAGTCCAGCCCAGTCCAGTATAGACCAGTCCAATATAGACCAGTCCAGTATAGACTACTCCAGTACAGCCAAGTCCAGTATAGACCAGTTCAGTATAGACCACTCTAGTCCAGTATAGTCCAGTATAGACCAGTTCAGTATAGACCACTCTAGTCCAGTATAGTCCAGTATAGACCACTCCAGTCCAGTATAGACCAGTCCAGTATATACCACTCCAGTCCAGTATAGTCCACTCCAGTCCAGTATAGACCACTCCAGTCCAGTATAGTCCACTCCAGTCCAGTATAGACTACTCCAGTCCAGTATAGTCTAATCCAGTCCTGTATAGACCACTCCAGTCCATTATAGTCCAGTCCAGTATAGACCACTCCAGTCCACATAGTCCAGTCCAGTATAGACCACTCCAGTCCAGTATAGTCCACTCCAGTTCAGTTTAGACCACTCCAGTCCAGTATAGACCAGTATAGACCACACCCGTCCAGTATAGACCACTCCAGTCCAGTATAGACCACTCCAGTCCAGTATAGACCACTCCAGTCCAGTATAGACCACTCTAGTCCAGTATAGTCCACTCCAGTATAGACGACTCCAGTCCAGTATGGACCAGTCCAGTGTAGTATAGACTAGTCCAGTCCAGTATAGATCAATTCAGTCCAGTATAGACCATTCCAGTCCAGTATAGTCCAGTATAGACCACTCCAGTGCAGTATAGGCCACTCCAGTCCAGTATACTCCAGTATAGACCACTCCAGTCCAGTATAGACCACTTCAGACCAGTATAGACCACTCCAGTCCAGTATAGACCACTCCAGTCTAGTATAGACTAGTCCAGTCCAGTATAGTCCAGTATAGACCACTCCAGTCCAGTGTAGACCACTCCAGTCCAGTATAGTCCAGTATAGACCACTCCAGTCCAGTGTAGATGAGTCCAGTCCAGTATAGTCCACTCCAGTCCAGCCCAGCGAGCCCCCCCGCCCCCCTCCACGCTGCCCCCAATTGCAGTGCACCATGAACTGGGGCGCTTTCCAGACGATCCTGCACGGCGTGAGTCAGTACTCCACTGCAGCGGGGAAGGTAACCTGGAGAACACGCGCGGTGGCCATGGTAACGGTGGCGATGGTAATGGTGGCGAAGGTAACGGTGGTGATGGTAACGGTGGCCATGGTAACGGTGGCCATGCTAACGGTGGTGATGGTAACGGTGGCGATGGTAACGGTGGCGATGGTAATGGTGGTGATGGTAACGGTGGCGATGGTAACGGTGGCCATGGTAACGGTGGCGATGGTAACGGTGGCCATGGTAACAGTGGCGATGGTAACGGTGGCGATGGTAACGGTGGTGATGGTAACGGTGGCGATGGTAATGGTGGCCATGGTAACGGTGGCGATGGTAACGGTGGCCATGGTAACGGTGGCGATGGTAACGGTGGCGATGGTAACGGTGGCCATGGTAACGGTGGCGAAGGTAACGGTGGTGATGGTAACGGTGATCATGGTAACGGTGGCGATGATAACGGTGGCCATGGTAACGGTGGCGATGGTAACGGTGGCCATGGTAACGGTGGCGATGGTAACGGTGGCGATGGTAATGGTGGCGAAGGTAACGGTGGTGATGGTAACGGTGATCATGGTAACAGTGGCCATGGTAACGGTGGTGATGGTAATGGTGGCGATGGTAACGGTGACCATGGTAATGGTGGCGATGGTAACGGTAGCGATGGTAACGGTAGCGATGGTAACGATGGCGATGGTAACCATGGCCATGGTAACGGTGGCCATGGTAACGGTGGCCATGGTAACGGTGGCGATGGTAACGGTGGCGATGGTAGTGGTGGCGATGATCAGCGCCAGTGACGATGATCTGAACCTCCCTCCCCATTCCCTCTCCACCCCCTCCTCCCTCCTCCTCCCCCCCCCCCCGCCCGCCACAGGTGTGGCTGTCCGTGGTCTTCATCTTCCGGATGCTCATCATCGTGGTGGCGGCCGAGACGGTGTGGGGCGATGAGCAGTCGGAGTTCGTGTGCAACACGGACCAGCCGGGCTGCAAGAACGTCTGCTACGACCACTTCTTCCCCGTGTCGCAGATCCGTCTCTGGTCGCTGCAGATGATCTTCGTGTCGACGCCGGCCCTCCTCGTCGCCATGCACGTGTGGCACCGCAAGTTCCGCTCGCAGAAGGACCGCTTCGAGAAGGGTCAGCGAGTTGGGGGGGGGGGGGGAGGGAGGGGGAGGGGTGGGGGTGGGGGGGGGAGGATCTAGAGATGAAGAGAGGACTGGATCCCGCCCCTCGGTTGTCATGGCTCACGCGGAGACTCGGGGGACGCACACGGAGAGACGTACGGAGGTCCATAGACTCGCACAGAGACCCATAGACTCACACAGAGACCCATAGACTCATACAGAGACCCATAGACTCACACAGAGACCCATAGACTCACGTGGAGAGACATAGACTCACACAGAGACCCATAGACTCACACAGAGACCCATAGACTCACGTGGAGAGACATAGACTCACACAGAGACCCATAGACTCACACAGAGACCCATAGACTCAAACAGAGACCCATAGACTTACACAGAGACCCATAGACTTACACAGAGACCCATAGACTCACACAGAGACCCATAGACTTACACAGAGAGCCATAGACTCATGTGAAGAGCCATAGACTCACGTGGAGAGCCATAGACTCACGCGGAGTGCCATAGACTCACATGGAGAGCCATAGACTCACGTGGAGAGACATAGACTCACACAGAGACCCATAGACTCACACAGAGACCCATAGACTCACACAGAGACCCATAGACTCACGTGGAGAGACATAGACTCACAGAGAGACCCATAGACTCACACAGAGACCCATAGACTCAAACAGAGACCCATAGACTTACACAGAGACCCATAGACTTACACAGAGACCCATAGACTCACACAGAGACCCATAGACTTACACAGAGAGCCATAGACTCATGTGAAGAGCCATAGACTCACGTGGAGAGCCATAGACTCACGCGCAGAGCCATAGACTCACGTGGAGAGCCATAGACTCACGTGGAGAGACATAGACTCACACAGAGACCCATAGACTCACACAGAGACCCATAGACTCACACAGAGACCCATAGACTCACGTGGAGAGACATAGACTCACAGAGAGTCCCATAGACTCACACAGAGGCCCATATACTCAAACAGAGACCCATAGACTCACACAGAGACCCATAGACTCACACACAGAGACCCATAGACTCACTCAGAGACCCATAGACTCACACAGAGAGCCATAGATTCACACAGAGACCCATAGACTCAAACAGAGACCCATAGACTTACACAGAGACCCATAGACTTACACAGAGACCCATAGACTCACACAGAGACCCATAGACTTACACAGAGAGCCATAGACTCATGTGAAGAGCCATAGACTCACGTGGAGAGCCATAGACTCACGCGCAGAGCCATAGACTCACGTGGAGAGCCATAGACTCACGTGGAGAGACATAGACTCACACAGAGACCCATAGACTCACACAGAGACCCATAGACTCACACAGAGACCCATAGACTCACGTGGAGAGACATAGACTCACAGAGAGTCCCATAGACTCACACAGAGACCCATATACTCAAACAGAGACCCATAGACTCACACAGAGACCCATAGACTCACACACAGAGACCCATAGACTCACTCAGAGACCCATAGACTCACACAGAGAGCCATAGATTCACACAGAGACCCATAGACTCACTCAGAGACCCATAGACTTACACAGAGAGCCATAGACTCATGTGAAGAACCATAGACTCACACAGAGACCCATAGACTCACACAGAGACCCATAGACTCACATAGAGACCCATAGACTCACTCAGAGACCCATAGACTTACACAGAGACCCATAGACTCACACAGAGACCCATAGACTTACACAGAGACCCATAGACTCACTCAGAGACCCATAGACTCACGCGGAGAGCCATAGACTCACGTGGAGACCCATAGACTCACGTGGAGGGCCATAGACTCACGTGGGGACCCATAGACTCACGTGGAGAGCCATAGACTTACATGGAGAGCCATAGACTTACACAGAGACCCATAGACTCACGCGGTGACCATTGACTTACACAGAGACCCATAGACTCACACAGAGACCCATAGACTCACGTGGAAAACCAAAGACTCACATGGAGACCCATAGACTCACACAGAGACCCATAGGCTAACACGGAGATCCATAGACTTACGTGGGGACCCATAGACTCACATGGAGACCCATAGGCTCACACAGAGACCCATAGACTCGCACGAAGACCCATAGACTCGCACGGAGACCCATAGACTCAGACAGAGACACGTAGACTGACCCGGATACCCATAGACTCACACAGAGAACCATATACTCACGCAGAGAACCAGAGTGTATTGTCCTTCCCCCGCACCTCCGATTAGTGTGGCTGGCTCTGTACAGTTCAAAAGAAGCTCAACACACACAAACACGCACGCAACAACAACAACAACAACCGCCATTCGCCACTAAGTTGCGGTGACGTCACGACGACGCTTCTGCCAGGACATGTGCACCTTGAGGCCACGTGAAGTGCCGAACACCCGCTGGCAGGAGGTCACGGGGCAGACCCAGGTGCCACGGGTCGACTGACTAAGATGACTGAGATGGCTGGCTGATGCATCACCTGTGCCCCCTACTGTACTAACCTGCTGTGCTTTAGCCACTCGGCGCTCCGCTCGTTGTTGTGAGTGTCACTCCTCCGCCCTCCGTTGTTGTTGGAGGGCGACTACCTCCAACTGTCCAGTAGTTTCCTTCACGAGCCTCCTCCACAGAGGCCGATCTTGACACCGCTGGTACCAGTCATCGGCAAGTCCACTCAGCTCCACGTCCTTCTGTACCACATCACTCCATCTCTTCTCTAGCCCGTGCCGCGCCCGTTTAGCCCTCTCAATCCGGCCCAACAAAAGCTGTTTCGGCATGCGGTGGCTGGGTATGCGGGCTACATGACCCAGCCAACGCAGCCTTGCCTGCCGGAGGAGCTCACCGATGGGACCTTGCCCAGATCTTTCAAGGATTTGTGAGCTCCTCACACAATCCAGCCTTGTTAAACCCAGGATGGATCGTAGGCAGGCCAGCCTAAATGTTTATAACCGGCGAAGATGTTCCATTAGGGGGGTCCACGTTTCACAAGCGTAGAGAAGGGAGGGAATGACCATGGCCGAGAAGACCTGAAGCTTAGTGCAGAGCGACAGACCAGGTAGCTTCCACACAGCGTTACACAACCGATGAAAAGATATTGCCACTCGACTGATTCGGAGTGAGACTTCTGCTGTTAAACTGGAGCCAGTCATAAGCACACTGCCCAGGTATGGGAAACTCTCCACTCTCTCCACAACTGCCCCATCACCGATTGGGAGTTGTGAGGGTGGAGTGTCTGATGGTACAAAAAACCCAGGCAGGTGCTTAGATTTGGTGGGGCTTGATGGTAAGGCCCCATCTCTTAGTGGCACGCTCAGCAAACGCGTCTCCAATTCCTCCTATTACCAAATCAGCTATTACCAAATCATCGGCATGCATAACGTGGTTGAGCAATAGGGAGCCATCCCTTGACCGCACCCAGGCATTTATCAGCCTCCCATTATATCTGTACCACATGGAGATTCCCCCGGTACAGCTATTGAAGGCTTCACAAACTACGTGGTCAAAATAGATGTTAAATAATGTGGGAGCCAGAGGACATTCCTGTCACACCCCAAGGTGTACAGGGAATGGCTCTGACTCCCGGCCACGTAGTTTTACCCGGGCTCGCTCACCATCATGAAGGTCCTTAATGATCATGAGCAGAGGGTCAGGGACTCCAAAAGCACGAAGAACAACCCAGAGCCCAGGCCTACTGATGGAATCATAGGCCTTGACCAGGTCAATAAAGCAGAGATGTAGTTCTTAGTCCAGCAAAACAACCCCCTACCTCCTCGCGGTGCCGGACTGGCAACTCTGTCGTGGACAGTGCTGTGGGGGGAGGGCCAATTCCGATTGGCTCCTCCCCTCATGGCGTCTGTGATCACCACAGGGGCTAAACGGGGGCTCTGGATGGGCGCGAGGGGCTGGTAACCCGTCCACCTTCAAAAATGTATCACTAAACCACGCCTAAAAAAAAAAGAAAAAATACACACGCACATACATACATACATACACGCACGTACGTAGACTCACACCCCCACCTCCGCCTCCTCTCCCCCCCCCCTCCCCGCCACCCAGGCCGCGAGGAGAAGCTCCACGGGGGCCTCTTCTGGACGTACCTGGTGAGCCTGGCCTTCCGCGTGGGCTTCGAGCTGGGCTTCATGTCAATCTTCTACTTCATGTTCGGCGGCTTCTCGCTGCCCCGCCTCGTCAAGTGCAGCGCCTCGCCGTGCCCCAACACGGTGGACTGCTTCGTGACGCGCCCCACTGAGAAGAACGTCTTCACCTACTTCATGCTGGGCGCCTCCATCGTGTGCCTGCTGCTGAGCGTCGCCGAGATCTTCTACCTCACCACGAAGCACGGCCTCGTGCGGGCCGTCAAGAGGTGCGAGCGCGGCGAGGGCCTCCTGCCCGTGCTGAGGCCTCGCTCCAAGCGGGCGGCCGGGAAGGGCCGCAAGGCGGGAGGGAAGGACGCCGCCGGCGGCGGCGGCGGCGGCGGCGACGGCGGTGCCGCCGGCGGCGGAGCGGGGAACTGCGGCTTTGCCGGAGCCACGGGCGGCGGAGGAGGCGGTGGCAACGGCGGCTGCGGCGGGCAGGACGACGAGGAGGAAGACGAGGGCCTCCCGCCGGAGGAGACCGCCATCTGAGAGCGGCGTCCGGCTCGTCGGTCGCGCCGCACGCGGACGCTGAGACTGAGAAGCCTTGGGGCGTAGGCCCCGAGCGCGCGTGGGGTAGAGGGCCCCCTCCCCCCCCCCCCCCCGTGCCGCTCAGTGTCCAGGTGGGGGGGGGGGGGGGGGGGTCCGGCTATGGACCCCGAGCAAGGACGGCCCAGCCTGGCCCTGGGGAGCGACAATGAGAAGGCACTCGAGAAACTCGGAGAACTTTTTACCCTCGATTCAAACTTTTGTGGTCGGTATCGCCGTGTGGGCCCGACCCCATCCTCTGTAGGCCCCTCCTCTTCATCTGTAGGCCCCACCCCTCCCATTGTAGGCCCCACCCCTTCATCTGTAGGCCCCACCCCTCCCATTGTAGGTCCCAACCCTTCCTCTGTAGGCCCCACCCCTTCCATTGTAGGTCCCACCCCTCCCTCTGTAGGCCTCACCACTCCCTCTGTAGGCCCCACCCCTTCCTCTGTAGGCCCCACCCCTCACTCTGTAGGCCCCACCCCCCTTTGGCTCCTGAGGCCCCAACCCCTTGCCAGAATGGGCCCCCGCCTCTTGCCTGTTCAGGTTCCGGCACGTGTGCCGCTGGACGGGCGGTTGATGCGTGGAACTACTTTTGTGGGGGGGGGGGGGGGGGGGGTGGGGCGTAGAGGAGGGTAGGGGTGCGGGGTTTCCCGCCTCCAGGGTGCAGGGCGTTCATTGGAGTGGCCACCATTTAGTAATGGGCCACGGCAAGAAAAGAAGTCGATCACAAACCGTCCGTCGATTAATCGACAAATGTTCAATCACCTTGGCCGCACAACGGGGTTGCAGTGTTGCATTGCAGGTCTCTCGCAGTGTCAACGTATGAGAATATGTTTCACCCTTTATCGCAGGGGCGTGGAAACTTTTTTTCTGCCAAGGGCCATTTGGATATTTATGCAACATCATTCGCGGGCCACACAAAATTATCAACTTAAAAAATTAGCCCGTTTATATTTGGTCAAACGTTTAATTGACTCGCCCCTAATGCGATGGGCTGGAACTGCTTCTCTTTGGCGAGACGCGTGTGGTGGTGATGTTAGCTGGCTATTGATGATGTTAGCTGGTATGGATGATGTTAGCTGGTATTGACGATGTTAGCTGGTATTGATGATGTTAGCTGGTATTGATGATGTTTTTGCTACTCTCAACTGATTTTCCAAGTTTGCTCTCCTAGATTTATTGAATTTGGAGTCCCGCCTGCGTTTGCCTTGGCAGGGCCAGAGACCCAAATGATTCCGCGGGCCTCATACAGCCCGCGGGCCTCGGACGTTCCCCACCCCTGCTTCATGGCAATAACGATGTAGCTGCTCAACCCGAGCTCTCAATGTCCTGAGAGTGGCATTGTCCTGGTGCTGTTCGCACTTTTGGCGTTGCCCGCTGGTCTAACGCCGTTTGAGACGAGGCTCTAAAGAAAGCCGTCTCTCGGTTTCAAAGACAATGCCTCATCGTATACTACCAGAGCATGGTTTTTATTGTTTTGCATGTTCACTGCAGGTATCTACGTGGTTAGATGCAGTGACGCGATTCTTTGCAAAAGGTTTCAATTTGGGGTATTTGAACATCTTGACACAATTCTTGTTTTTGGAATGGCCAAAAAGGCACAAACCTATTCTCATAACCAAAGTAAACTACGTTTTATTGTTACCAGGCAAGGCCCCGCTGAGCTGGCGTGTAGCTCTTGTTCAGAAGCGAGCCTCACTGTCACGAATGATGGCAGCTCAACGGGAGTGGGCTCATCATCATCGTCATCATCGTCGTCATCGTCGTCATCGTGTGGATATGAACAGCAGCAGCCAAATCACTCTGAACGCGCGGTGACGTTGATTCTAAACGTGGAAGGAACAAAACCTGGATGAGCCGGAGACAAATCCACGCGACCACGGGGAGAGAGAAAGAGACGCAGACTCCAAATATACAGCAGCAGCAGGCATCGTCAGGGTCGGGATCGAACCCACGGCCTCCTGCACACCAGGCGAGGTAGTTAACATGTCCTAGCCACCGTGATGATGATGATGAGAGAGAGACGCAGACTCCAAATATACAGCAGCAGCAGCAGGCATCGTCAGGGTCGGGATCGAACCCACGACCTCCTGCACACCAGGCGAGGTAGTTAACATCTCCTAGCCACCGTGATGATGATGATGATGAGAGAGAGACGCAGACTCCAAATCTACAGCAGCAGGCATTGTCAGGGTCGGGATCAAACCCACGACCTCCTGCACACCAGGCGAGGTAGTTAACATCTCCTAGCCACCGTGATGATGATGATGATGATGGGAGAGAGACGCAGACTCCAAATATACAGCAGCAGGCATTGTCAGAGTCGGGATCAAACCCACGACCTCCTGAACACCAGGCCAGGTAGTTAACATCTCCTAGCCATCGTGATGATGATGAGAGAGACACGCAGACTCCAAATGTACAGCAGCAGGCATCGTCAGGGTCGGGATCAAACCCACGACCTCATGCACACCAGGCGAGGTAGTTAACATCTCATAGCCACCGTGATGATGATGATGATGATGAGAGAGAGAGAGAGACACGCAAACTCCAAATATACAGCAGCAGGCGTCATCAATTCCCGCTTACGACCACCACCAGTGACGATTATCTGAACCGGTCATGGGCCTCCCCTAGGTCGACTCAGCCTTAAACAAGTACTCGGTGCGGTGTGTAGTAAACGTCGCCACTGGGGGAAGACGAAGGCGGCCGGGCGTGGTGCTGGCCACCCACCCCGTCGTGTGCCACAGCGCATTCACAGGTGCTGCAACTCGCTAACAGCACTTGCCCCAGCAGTCTGTGAAGCCTATACGATGGATCTGTGTCTCTGTGTATCTCTGTATGATCTCTAAGCTCCGACCACGTGGCTGTGTGTGCCCTGTCTCTGATGGAGGTCTGCACGTCCATTCGCCTATCGCCTTTGCTGTAAACAACGCGAACAAGAATTACAATAAACAACAATTTGCTGAGCTGAGCACGTTGTTTCGCAACATTATTCTGATGCTGTGGAGGACGCAGCCCATCCCACAAGCCCCTTGCTGAAACCTTCACCCCAGAATCCTCCCACCCCCAAACTCTGAAGACCCCAACCCTCTGCACCGGGGCATCTCGCGACAACGCACCCCCAATCTAGGGACACGTTCGAAAGGGCACCCCCATTGGCATGTGCCACCACAACTCTACGAGTTGTGAATGTCCACTTGACGACGATGATGATCCCACTTCGTAGAGCTGCAATCATTCGTGATAGCCAGAGTCGCTTCGTAAAAAGAACCTCAACCCGAGTTAAAACCTTCGCGCCCGCAGGAATTCATTTTCTCGGTTCGTTCGGTAAAGTCGCGTGGATAGAAAATAAAAATGTAAATTAAAATTTGCCTTTAATTTTAATACGTTTTTTGGCATTTTAATTTATTTTTTGTATTTTAATTTAATTTAATTATTTTTTAATTAAAATAAAAGCCAAAAGACCAACGACGTTTCGACCGCTTGTGCGGAGCCCGTCCAGTGGCCCAGACTGTTGTTATGATGTCACGTAGGGCAGTCTGCGCACAAACGCCACCCTCCCTCAGCATTTCGCTTGGCAGATCGTCTCTGGCCGGTGCCTTTCCTGTTCTCAGACTCTGGATCGTCTTCAGTACTTCCTCAACAGACGGCACCTCAGCCAGTCACTCACAGGGGGTGACTTCCTCCTCCAATATTTGAGGCCCCGTAGCAAGGCCGTAATTATATTAAATATTGGGGGAGGGTGAGGGGGGGGACATTCCCTCCCCCCAATATTTAGCTATAATAAAAATTTGCCATGCTATGTAAATAAAAACAACAATTTGCTAAACCTTGGTCACAATATCTGGACCTGCCTTCATATAAATCAATGCATAGATGTCTGTTTATATGATTGTGGTTATGGTTGTACTTTATTAATCCCTAATCTCTGCCATTACATACAATGAAACAAGAAATGGTAAAAAAGTAAAAACAGAGCAATGTAAATACAATAACACTCTTAGACATTATTGTAAATAAATGAATGAAAAGTCCATCCTACGTGTTGTGAATTTTTTTTTTTTATATTTTATGCAGGAAATTATGTTTTCAAATTTAGATTTTTTTTTTCTGGGTTGGGACCCCCAGACACCCTGGAAGATTTCCCCCCCCCCCCCCCCAATGTTCACCACATGGCTTCGGCCTTGCCCCGCAGCCTCGGCAGGCTCATCCCCACGATGTTCTCCAGGCTGAGAGATTCCCGCCCTCCCCTAGGATCTCCCTATGGGTGTCTGCGATCGTTAATCTCTCCCTCTGTCTGCCCATTTGCATCGTTTCATCATTCCCATGTCCATCTCTCCCTCTCTCTCCCAGCTCCCTGCCAATCATCACCTCTCCCCGCTGATTCTCTCTCTTCCCTCCACTTCTCCTCCCCCCCTCCTCTTGTCCCAACCCCGCCCCGCCCCTGGCTCCTCCCCATCTCTTTGTCTCTCGCGACCACGTGGTTTTTCTCTCGTGACCACGTGGCTTTTTTTTTCTCTCCCTCGAGCCATAGCGCATGGCACGTGGCCGCGAGGTAGCACGTGACCCCCCCCCCTCCCCACTTCCTCCAACTCCCCCCCCCCCCGCCACTGCCCCGAAAAGATCCCCCCTCAGCCCCCCTCCCCCTCAGCCCCCCTTTACCCACCCCACCACCACCCCCAAAGACAAAGATCCCCCGTGTAGCCTGTGACAGACTGCTGGGGCAAGTGCTGTTAGCGAGTAGCAGCAGCGCCTGTGAACACACAAAGACAAAGGTCCCCCGTGTAGCCTGTGACAGACTGTAGGGGCAAGTGCTGTTAGTAGCGAGTAGCAGCAGCGCCTATGAACACACAAAGACAAAGATCCCCCGTGTAGCCTGTAACAGACCGTAGGGGCAAGTGCTGTTAGCGAGTAGCAGCAGCGCCTATGAAGGCTGCCGGCGCTGTGGCACACGAGGGGGTGGGTGGCCAGGAGCACCACGCCCGGCCGCCTTTGTCTCCCTCGTGGGCGATGTTCACTACACACAGCCGCACCTAGGCACTCATTTGAGGCTGAGTCGACCTAG